GTAATCTTTATTTTACAATTCAAACGAGGCTTCTCACAATGAGAAAGGATTAAAACAATCCACAGAACAAACATACAATGAGCATTAATTTATTGCCACATGGATTCAAAGTGAAATATTTATGATTCAACTCATTTAAACATTTTAGACAGAAGATAAAAATATCTGATATTCTTTACTTCAGTCTTACAATCCGCATTATCACAAAATCTTTAAACACATTTATTAGACAAACTGATATTTGATAGAAATATTTCAGTTTTATGACCTGGAGTGCACTTTTACATCGACTGAGAAAAACAATACTGTCTGAACGGTATAAAAGCTCAAAGTATGAAGGTTGAAGGCACATAATCTATTTAAGCATAAAGAATGGTTACTGGTCACCATGATATTCACTGAATGTTTCAAGTAACTCATTTCTTCTCTACACACATCAACTTAAACTTAAAAAATGTAACATATATATGCATGTTATTATTTAACAGCATCAGGACAGATTTTTACCATAAACTTACCGTAACACTACCAATAAAAGCAGGGTCCCTAATAGACGCAGGTCTCATTTAAAAGCCTGGTGTGGCTACACGTTTTGACTTATAAACGCAGGTCTCTAATAGAGGCCTCGTCTGTATTTTATAGAAATGATCTTGATGTATAAAACCTCTTAAAACCCAGCGGGTCGCCCGCTTGAGTTCCGATCTCCTACTTCTGTCAATATGTTCATGTTACACATCGTGCAGATCAGTTAGATTCTCCACAATTCAATCTTTCACTATAATTTACGAAAACTATCAACACCAAAGTAAAAAAAAAATTCATTTGGTAACACGGTAAACAAGAGAGACGGAAAAAAACCTCTGAAGCGATCATAATCATCATGTTAGTTGTCAAATTTGCTGAACAAAACTCAAGAGAAGCAGCAGTTAAGAGTTTAGTTTAGTTTTTTACTAAAGGAATTAAAAGCCTGTCCCCAATTAAGGCAGGGGGAGTTCAGTGATTTAAGCAAATAAACGCCCAGGCTATTATTAGAAGTGTTACGGTACTTACCTACAGCTTCTGAAATGTTATAAACTTAATAGTAATAAAAAAATGTAATAATAGTAAAAAAAAATGTACACACAACAGAGAATTAAATGATCAATAAATGTGAATCACTCACTCAGAATTCATTTGTTTTTAATCCAGGCAGGTCTGTTGATCAATTATGACCCATTTACTAAAACTCACATATACTAATTCATTTATAAAAGCTTCTTTTGACCCTTCCTAAGCTCCGCCCACTTCCTTCTTTCCTGGACTCAGATATGCTACGTGCTAGGCTAATCTATGCTGATAAGACAACCACAGTTTGAAGATGGTTAAAAGATAAAATAGACATATACAGTTAGCTATCAACAATTTTCACAAGCTAGCTAATGTTAATGTAGATTAGCAAGCTAGTTAGAGGAGGAACATGCTATCTAACTAGCTAGACAATCCACATGAATCTTTAGCATTTTGCTAACATTATCTGCTTGTCTATGAGCCTAGCACATAGCATATCTGAGTGCAGGAACGTTGACTGATCCCTTCTCACTGAGTGAGCTCAAGACTGTAATGAGCACAGTCAAAATGGGCGGGACTAAAAGGTCAAATGTTTCCAGCTGCATTCCTACAGACTTTGAAACGCACTCAAACGTCACAATCCACAACAGTGTTAAATGTTACCTTTGAGTCTCAAAGTCTCAATTCACATTGAAGTTTGTCTTTATTATAAACGGTAGTAAAGTGAAGTATCACTTATGATTTGCTGTAAAATGCTTAAATTCAAGAAAATGGGCTGCCAATGTTGTCCTCTAATTCCTCTAATTTAAAATTTCTTTTTATAGCCTTTCATTCTCTTTATGCATCGTTTCATAATCTTTTGAGTATTTTTCATTGAATTTATTGAAGTCTTTTGTAGACTCTTTCCAATCATTTTCCTAAATCTCCACCTGACCTCTGACCTCTGGTCAAAACGACCTCACCAAACTCTTTCATTTTTCAAACCCTTGTAGTGCCCAGTTTAGGATCACTACTCAAACATGTGACTTGAATTCATACTATTTTTAAATGTCTTATTAAGTGGCTCGGGCAGTTTTCAGTGTATTGAACTTCATTTTGCCCTCAACCCCTGAAGAGACAGTGGAGACGTTATTGAGCTTATATAAGTTCTTTGTTCTTATTGGGTCTTTTTACAATTCCCCTTTTTAGTTTCTATTAAGGCTGCACGATATGTGACAAACATCATGAAGACATTATTTTCACAGATATTGCGACTGTGATGTGATGTCACATATTTTACCTTTATGACTTGGATTACTGCATTTTACCATATTGAGATTTTGATAATCATTTGATTAACTGTGCAGCTTGTTTCTATCCAATAGTAAATTTGGTTCTACGATGAGTCTTGATGTACTCTGATGGAAAGTCTGTTATCTACAGACACTTTAGACTGTTTCCACTGCGTCAGTCTGCGCTTCAGTTCCTCAGGAGACCGCTGGCCTCGGGGAGAGTGTTGTTGCTCTCATTGGCTGCAGGGATGAACAGAAGTGTTATTTTATACATACAGACCCTAAAAACACAGAAGCCTACCTGCTCTTGCTTTCTCAGGTTTTTTTCTATGGTACATGCAATTACTGTGATGCAAAGTGCAAAGCAGTGTGGTTTGCTTCCACGTATTATATAATATATATTAATATAGCCCATACAAAGACAAAAACACTCTAAACTTTAGTAATCAAATTTCTAATTGATCTTATTCTTAAATAGAATAAAATATAATAAAGCACTTACTGTGGATAATGGCTGCTTCTTTAAGTGGTGCCCCTGTTAATAAAGACAAAGGTAAAACACAATCAGAAAATGAAAAACTATTTCTATCCATTTAGGTATGTTTGAAATAGTCGATGTGAAGTTCACTGTACAGAGGAACTAACTAAAAGGATCAGGTTGCTGTTATTCAGTATTTTACTTGTTGTCAATAAATCACATGAATCACATTTGGTCCTGATCCCAATCCTTAAATATTGATTATCTGCTGATACCAATGCCAATCTGGTTCTTACACATCACAGCTGCCCAGTAATCCTCAAGCTGCTCAGTGAAAGCTGTCAATCAGTCTACAAAGATACTTACTGGAGCCAGCAGTGGAGTCGCTGTGGAGAGACTCTTTTGACCCTGTGGAGAAAAGAAAAACAATTTTGTTAATTTACTAAAACTCGATTATAATTTTTTTTTAACTATTAAAATCATGATGATGTCAAATTTGTTTTATTAAATCTAAAAAATAAGATTTGAAACCAGAGCACCTCTGCAGCTCTATAGTACTTCATTATAATGCTGTCTGTCACACATTGCCTATATCAAAACATTACAGCTCTTGTGATTTGCATATTGCACTTGGCCATATTGTGATTATGATATTTGGATTAATTGTGCACATTTACGTCACAAAGCACGAACCAGAAAGTCCTTTAAACTGTAATTATTATATTACATTATATTATATTTTAAATGAATTGTGCTGCTCTGGTGCTATCTGAATGTTTTGTACACTGTTCTGAGCTGATAAGAGATTACATTCTGTAACTCAAGTGTATTTTACCAACCACAACAGAGTACAGTAATGAAAGACTCAGCATTGGATTGGTTTTATTATAGTGATGGTTTGAATTATAAGTAAAATACTCAGCCATATGCTACTTCTTAGGACTTTAAGAGAAATAGAAAATATATAAATAAATACAAAGTTACCTTTCTTGCCTGCTCCACCTGAAAAACCAAAACAAACAGACAATGTTAAAATGTGTAACTGATTCTAGATGCAGTCAATGTGAGGCACATTACTGTGTGTGGAACTGTGTCATTTAGAGTTTTGAGACTGTAAGCTCAACTTTCAGTTCACTGAATTAAAGATAAG